TCTGTCTCCCTTCTCCTTCTTGATGGCACACTCATGGTCGCTGGCTCAAATCCTGTTGCGATGCCAAAGCTCAAGCCTGATGCTGGCGACGAATTTGTCACTGAGTTCCGAGTGGAGAACTATGTTCCTCCATATCTCTCTGGTGATAACGCAAACAAGCGTCCAACCAATGTGAAATTGTCTTCAGGCAGCTTCAAAGCAGACGGCAGCACACTCGACGTAACCTTCGATTGCCCAGCTGGCGCAAAGGCAGTGACTGTGACTTTGTATCACGGTGGATTTGTCACTCATTCAGTACACATGGGTCATCGCATGCTGCATTTGGATAACACAGGCTTCGTCGCTGGTGCAACACAGCAGAAGTTGACTGTTACCCGACCACCAAACAACAATGTGGCACCTCCTGGACCATATGTTGTTTACATTCTTGTAGATGGCATTCCCGCAATGGGACAATTTGTTACGGTTTGAAGGTCTGCATTTCAATGAGGTTCAACAGGGTCTTGCAGCATAGCTTTGGTTTGGGATGGAGATTCATGGAATATGGCGTTATGTGCGGATAACCAAAATTGTACCCAGGGCTAAAGCCAGGGCGAAGGGTTCAGTCTCAATAGCGAATAATGATAATAATTCTTCAATTTTGAATGGTGTTTTAATGTTATTGTGATTGATGATTGATGTGTCAACAACATTAAAGAATTGTTCCTACGTGATCCCTACTAATTAGAGGCTGAAATTCCCCATGCCATCAGCCTGTAATTTTGACTAAAAAGGGCCCACTCGTCGCAATATTTCCGTACGCCCAAGAAATTTACCGCGGAAGAAATGAAACAAAAAAAACTTTAATCAACAAATCACGACTAATGATTATCTCCTCGTGCATTTGAGCAGAACCGGATTTAGCTAGTGATCATGTACTATGCATGCATTGCAGCACACAGTACTCCATAAATCGTTTGTAGCCTGTCATATGGTGACAACAAATGGCGAATGGTGGTTGCGTGAAGAATCTAAATTAAGTGAGGTGAGGGACTGGGGTGGAAGGGTAAAGGTGCCACAGAAGGACCCAGTAAAGAGACCCCAGTAAAGAGGGGGGAGCTGAAAAACTTGGTAGGATGATAGGATTTTGTACACGGTGTTGTATTGTGATATTTGTAAGTGTTTCAAGTATTGTAGAACTAAAGGTAAAGCTACAGGTAAAGGTTGTCAATGAAAGATTGTCGAGGGGTTGAATTTTGAAGAATTTGAAGAGTTGATTCTGGTCAACCCATTTTTGATCACGCGAGCTTCATTTCGACCACACCGACCAGACGAGGGACCCTCATTTCGAACCTCGGGACGTGGGAGCTGGAACTTCAGCTTGGGACTGAGTGAGTGAATTCAAGGAAAGGAGGGGAACAGAGTGAAGCTTCATATATATAGAGTCGTACGAAGTACAACGAGGCAAAAGAACTTTTACGAAGCACACCACAATTACGCAAATCGCAGTCTTACATACTTACAGACTCGCAGACTTGCAATCTCGCAAGCTGACCACTCTTCGACAAGTCCTTGCACAATTCAATAAACCAAACGATGTCGCTCGATCCGCGAGATTCACAAATGAGGGGTAGGAGTAAGAGTCCCGGACGCGAAAGATCGCGTTCGAGGTCTGGGTATGAAGTGGAAGGGGTGAAAGCACCTACACCGCCAAGTTTCGATGATAGAAGAGAGTATGACTATGATGAGTCTCGCACTGGCAGAACTGGCAGATACAGGGATGCAAGCCCAAATCCTACAACGGGATTTGGTGCATCGAGATATGGAGGGACTGGAGCTGGTATACCAGATATCTTGAAGATTGATGAGGTGAGGTATACAGAGAGGGATAGGGATCATGAGAGATTGCATACTCCTGCTCAGTTTGACAATTTGACTTATGGAGAGGGGTACGTACCAGGTACTCCGGCAAAGATCAATATTTATGGATCTCGCGACCCATCCCCAGCTGCCGTTCCTCGAAGTGCAGGAGGGTATGGAAAGGATATTCATACTCCCACCTTTAGTACCTTCAGCGACCGGTTAGCCTCACCTCGCGACCACGAACTTGGAGCAGATACACGTAGACATGATGATAACCATGGTCGTCAGAGATCCGCAAGTTTTAATGTTTCTGCGGGCGTCGGAAAACATCATGGCTCTATCTCAGGTGGTGTGGGTATGGGTCATGATCAATCTTATGCTCAATCTTCAGTGGGATCACAAGTCTCCGATCTTCCTAGTCCCGGACCACCCGGTGCGAGATATGGAACACCAGCCAGTCCTGTTGCGGGAGGTGGATGGGTAAGCGCGGGGTATGGCAAGAGAGAAGATGAGCATAATAGGTATACAGACCCGGCGGCATGGAAATATGCGCAGCCTGGTGATAAGATTACCTTTTCGAGTACCACTAGGAAGACCGTAATTGGAGGAGAAGATCATGGACGTAGAGATTCTTCACCACCGAGACATCATAGACATGAAAGTTCATCGGCTCGAAGCAGTAGCTCCCGAGTCGTCTCTGAATCAATCGTTACTGTCAACCCTGGTTCTCGTCGTGATGCTTCCCCCAATCCTGCTAGGCTGGGCGATCGACTCAATACACTAAGTATCAGTACTAGTGGTCATCCCGGTCACTCGTCCCATGGCTCTCTTAGCTTATCTCCCGGCGGCCATTCTCATTCCGGCTCTCTCAGCCTAGCCAATGCCCCCGGATCTCCCCTCCTCGAATCCTACAAGGGAACATATCAATCCATATCCCCCATGCCATCTCCAATGCTCATGGTCACATCACACTCCGACATATCCGAGACATTCTCCCCCTTATCCCCATCAGGCGAAGATCGATCTTTCCGGCGCACCGCCCGTTTCCACGATGCCCAAGACGAAGCCGAAATGCTTCGCGATGCCTTGAAAGGGGAAAATCGTGCTCCGGATGTTCATCCTCTGATTACCATTCTCCCGGGTCTTACACATGAACAAATACTCGATCTTCGCACCGAGTATAAGAAGATTGTTAAAACGGGTCATGAGAGAAAGGGTGTCAATATCGCTAAACATATCAAACTTCGTCTCAAAGATGAAGATCCTAGTTTGATGAAAGCATGTTATGCGGTTGCGTTAGGTCAATGGGAAAGTGAAGCTTATTGGGCCAATTTTTGGTACCAAGGAGAAAAATCCCGTAGGGAATTATTGATTGAGAGTTTGATGGGGCGATCGAATCGCGAAATTCAGAAAATTAAAGATGGATTTAGTGATAAGAAATATCGGGATTCCCTGCGTCAATGTATGGAGAAGGAACTCAAGGATGATAAGTTTAAGAAGGCGGTTTTACTTGTCTTGGATGAGAAGAGGATGGAGGAGAGTAGGAGGATTGATGGGGATTTACTCCGAGAGGATATTAGACAGTTGGAGAAATGTGTTACGAGTGAGAAGGGTGGTGAGACCAGAATGATTGAAATTGTTTGTATGAGGAGTGATAATCATTTGAGGGAGGTTTTGAGGGGGTATGAGGAGAAGTTTGGGAGGAATTTCGCGAGGGAAATGTTGGGGAAGAGTACTAATCTTGTTGTATGTTGCCTTTCTTTTTTGATTCTCATTTTGCTTATCGTTCTTTCCCCTCTTACCCCTGTCCCATTTCACCAAAAAAAAACTCAACTAACACCCCCCCAGGGCGAACTCCTAGCCCACATCCTCAACGGCATAATCAACAAACCGGTCCGCGACGCCCTCCTCGTTCATCACGCACTCACCCTCTCAACGCGAGACCCGCTTCGCACGGAACTTTTGATCAGTCGATTGGTGAGATATCATTGGGATCGTAAGCATCTAGAGGAGGTTAAGAGGGAGTATAGGGATAGGTATGGGATTGATATGCAGGAGGCGGTGGGGCAGGGGGTTAGGGGCGATGTGGGGAAGTTCTTGGAGGGACTTTGTTTGTGGAGGGAGAGTGATAGGGTTAGGGAGGTTTAGGTTGTGGTTTTGAGGGGGTTTGTGGGTGGGTAGGGGTATGGGAAAGGGGTGGGGAGGAGAGGGGAAGGAGTGAAGGGGAATATGGTGGGAGTGAAGCGGAGATTGTTTCGCACGATTGATTGATGATATGAATGACACTATGAATAAATGCATGATATGATGCGCACACAATATGATATGATAAGAAATCAAAATGATATACGGCCGTCGGTTAAAGTCAAAGGAATCAATCAAATGCATTTTTTGTTAACTTAGTACTTAGTAGGTCCCTTTTATTTATAGGTTTATCTTCGGTGATGTGATTGAGTGATTGGTTTTAGATGTTTATGAGGTTTTTTAGGTTGTGATCAAATTCTTTTTTTGAATGGTTTCATCTTTGAAAGAAGGGTTTGGGATAGGGATTCTTGTGGGATATTTATGGTGGAAGTTGGCGCTGGGGTAGGTGGGTTGGAGATATGGGCTGCGTTGGTAGGTCGTTATAGAAAGTTGGATGGTTCTTGAGTAAGGTGAATGTCAGGGGATTACTGATAGATTCAGTGGGTATGCATAGATTCAATGTGTATGGATTGAATGAGATGAGTACTGCTTTAAACTTTGAAGCTAAAACCCTAAGAACATGTCATTTTGATGAAGGTGAGCAAAAAGTCATGTGAGCGCTAGATTAGATGATTACCCCTCATTCTTCCAATCACTCCTTCCCCCAACAACAAACACACCAACATCTGCAAGAACATCTAGGTAACTTTACCCAAGAAAAGCAAAACTTCAACTCAATATCCACCCAAAAATATCCTACCTAGTCAAGTGACCAAAACCCATCAATTATTCCTTTACTTTTCCGCATTACGTCATCTACCTCTACCTTTCACCTCCTTCTCATCTCAACTTTCCAAACTTATTCAATCATTCAATCATGCATTCCTTCCTTCCTTCCTTCCTATCTTATATAACAAAATAACTCCCGGACATTAATAATTTGCATCAAAGTCCTCATGGTTCAGTGGTAGAAAGCTTGGTTGAGGTAGTGGTTAACCTGTCTGCCTCCCAGATGAAATAAAATTGAGTGCGCAGGAAACGGGGATTCGAATTCCCCACCAAGCAAAGATGTACTTTTTAGCAGTTGTTTCTTTTGCTTCTTGATCTGGGTTTTGCTTTCTTCTTGGGCTCTTGCTTTTGGAAGGGCGTTTCTCTCGTACTTCTTGATAATATTGCTTAGTTTGGCTTGTTTTGGATGAGGTGTGATTGGTGAAGGTATTCACTTTTGGGAAAGTAATTTGCTAGATATGAGTTTGCTTTTTGTTTGATTTGCTGAAAGTTCCGAGAACTCTCTGTGTATCTTTTTTCCCACTTACAGTGGTTGCTTCAAACGGCACTTTGATTTCCTGAGTGTTGATATTAATCTTTATTCGAGCTCACAAAGTTATGAGGACTTCTAATATGCGAATGAGATCGTTTCAATCAAAGTTTCAAAACTTACCTGATTCCTGATACAGGCTGAGACCAACGAATGGGAAAAAGAAAACTTAGACGCCTATTTATAACAACTTGGCGGCTCTTTGCCATTGGGAGTCGAATATCTGGAACCAAACTTCTGGAATGGTTGGTCCAATGCTAGGAGCATGTTTTGCTAAATATCATTCGTCTGATCGGCATATGCTAAATGCATATGGGCGGCGCACAAGCGGCGTAACAAGTTAAATATATTAAATGTTCTTGATGCACTTTTCATTCTAACGCCAAGTGCTATGACCTTCCGCTCCGGTTTCAAGATCTGTTACTGTTCTTTGGAAGATCTTCAGAATTCTTCATTTCATAATGATGTATGATGATTATACTCTCTCTGTGGCAATCTGCACTTAAAACTCACAAGAGACTGTGATTTTTCATGATTCGAGAATTTTGGAGGAATTTCTTTCACGATGTCCGCAAAACCTACAATTCTCATATTTCAGCTCTTCCAATTTTGAAAAGAAAGCATTTTCGTCTACAGCATTTTGCCAATTGCACTCAGCCTTGGTTATATGGGTATTAGGATGATGATTCTGGTTGATCCCATAATCCGCTGTATAATATGCCGGCCAAAGTCGGATTATTGGCTGGGGGAGTTTGCAGTAGTTCAGCATATTGGGATAGAATTGGGTTATTTCCGTGAGATGGTAACCCGGTCACAAGGTAAGCTCTGTTGCGATATTTCAAGGATCGTCATATTTCGGCATGAAGTAGCAGGATTTACACAAAAATTATGGAATCAATATGCAGTCACTATTGGAAAAAAAACATGGACGGCAATGTGTTCTTTTTTGATATCACATCAATTCTCAACCCCCCCCGGATGCTTTTTGGGATAGTCAACTATATATGTGATTCATCAGATCCTCCTCATCCCGATTCAAACCAACGATGGCGCTATTTCAATCCGTACCTCAAGGACAAATAAATCGGGATGATTTGGCAATTGGTTGGAAATTTATGATAAAGCAGAACAGGCAGGCCACAGAGATTCGTGCTCACCTTGCTTTTTTTGAATAATATCAAGTTATAGATGCGGTAAACACGAGTCATTCGAGCGCCTCGGGACCGCGCATACGTTACTTTGAGTTACGTACGGGGAATCAAAATGCTTGGAGAACTGAAATTTTGACTCGGGAACATGCAAAATCTCGCAAAAGACCATTCATCTTAAGAGAGGACCTGCAGCCATCGAAAGTGTTGTACAGCAATTCCCATTTGATTCATGGAAGGGTGGAATTTGGGGGTATTTGGGATACTGAAGCCTATCCACCGTGTCTGATATGGAATACTTACCCATCAACATTGATTGGGCAGGCTGGGAAGACTTCTTAAAGGAGGTAAATGCAAGAATTGTGGTGAGGACGGCAAGAATAGAAGCGAATTCAGTAGGATCTCGGCTTTGGATGCAATGATCTTGGGACGGGAAGAAGATGTGGTTCATTGAGTTGGTGTTTGGCAGGTGCGGGTGAAAGATATGGGTGCAGTCGGAGCCTGGGCTTGAAAAGAATTGTTCTGGAACATAATACCGGGGTTGAAACTTCATCCAACCCAACAGATGAGAGAAGTAAGACTGAGGAACATATGATTCGTTAGTCATAAGCCTACTTTTGATTTTGATTTTGCCTAAACAAGGTCGGACGTGTCATTTCTTAGAATAACCCCCTGTTCAGATAAGAGTCTGCAAATTTCGAGCTATCCTTTTCAAGAACACCCGAAATGGCCTTAGTGGAGCTATTTGAATTGGGAAAGGGGACTCTGGAAGACAAATGAATATCAAGGTTTCTTTGGAGGTTTTTGAGGAGCTCGAAAGGTAAAATCCAACTGCGGGGACTTTGCCAGCATAAGGTTATTGCGAATTATGAAGAAGGGATGGATTTCCTTTGAAGTGCGTATCATTTATTATTAGGGCCTTCGTTTTTATCTATCTAAAGGGAGGAATTAAGATGCATACAAATAATGGCCTACTTGTCCCGGCACGTGAGATGATGGCGACTGCTCCCAGCATAAGTCGCATCAACTCAATTCTCAATCCGACACCGCCGGGGTTTCCTCTCTTTACCGCTGGCCTAGGCTTGCATTACCCGCTACCCTCGTCCTAGCCACGCTCGGTTTTCTTGTCGCCATGATTATTTAAACAGCGGACGAGAACAGCATGGAGATTTGGAAGACATTTCAAGATATTCTTATATGGCACGGGTTAGACGACAGCTCCAAAGTGAAAGGCTGCAAATCTGTACAGCGAATCGTATACACGAGAGGGCAAAGCAAGTAATTTTGCAGCTTGAAAGACAAAAAATGGATGGCAACTCACAGAAGATGCATTGAAAGATGGACAATGGATATAAGCTCTGTTTTTTAACTCGAAGAAATCGGAAGTGTCAGAAAAGGCTAATAAGCCTGACCAGTCAAAGTGCAGTATATTCCATCACGAAGTTTCCGTCGACGCCAGGTCTCTCGGGGTTTCAAGGTCGTTTGGCCTAATACTAAAAGCTCCAATCCCTTTCCTCTCATCTCTTCTCTCAAGAAATCTTGTCAATAAGGCGGTCAAAGCAATTGCAACCCCAAAAGTCGCTGCAGCAATCCAGCCTGGACGAAACTCGGGTGCCTCCGTAGTTCTCCATACCGCATCTGAGTACCAAATTTGCATAATATAACCAAACATGTTACTCGTTGCAATCAAGAATCCTCTCATTTCATGATCATGAGCCATAAGATCCGGGTACCAAGAAAACCAAATGCCGGGCACTCCGGCCGAGAAATATGCAAGATAAAATGCGACGAACTTTAATTTTATAGGCACAGTCCAGATAGCTAACACAACCGCACTAAAGAATGTACCAAGCTGCATTACTATTATCGGTTACCAACGTTTTCCGTGCAAGAGGTTGGAATCGGAAATCATGGCGGCTAGAATTTGGACAATGACACCAATCCCAGCTTGGGCTGTTGGGAGAACATCCCTGTCATACACTGAGTTCCCTTTGGACTTCAGCCACAAAGCAAATGCTGGTTGCTGAGATGGGAGACTAGCTTGGATGAAGAAGTAACCGATAGGTAAGACCCAAAATTGCCATTGTGCCATCAATCGAAGAATCTTCTTCTTATCCCAAGCCGACGATCCAAGAGTGTTGTATCCATCACGGACGAGTCTTTCTTTAGCTAACTTAATCTCAGTCCTTGTAAGATAGAAAGCTCGAGTGGTTTCGGGAAAATCGGGATTGAAGAAATATCCGATGACACCCACTGGAAGACTTATGGTACCGCATATGATGAACAGCCATTGCCATCCAGCATGACCGAGATGCCCGCTCAAATTGTCATATGCTGCTGCTTGAAGGTAACCACTAAACATAGTGGCCAATGTGGCAGTACAATAGAACAAGGTCACACGCTTTGCTCTCTCTTGTTTTGTATACCATGACCCAATCACATATATGATGCAAGGAAAGAAAGCTCCTTCACAAAGTCCGATGAGAAACCTCAACGCGTACAACTGTGACACCGTGGTAACAGCCGCGCTACAGAAAGTGAAGATAGACCAGAATACTTCAAGAGTCGGAATCAAGATTGATGGGCGTACGTTGGTAACGAGAATTACAGCAGGTATTTGACTAATCACATAGCCAGCTGTAAATACATTTCCCAAATATGTCAGCTGACTTCCTTGCATATTGAGGGCTTCTTGCATGCCAGAAACGTATGCATTGCTCAGATTTGCTTGATCAAGATTCTTGCAGAAGTATCCGAGACAACCGTACGAGAGGAGGAAAAAGTCCAGTTTGAGGAGGAAGCGCTTTTCGATGATTGGTTTGTCTGGATCGTCCCAGACATAGCCTTGAATACTTCGCAGGAATCTACGGGAAGAGCCTTTGAAACCAGATTTTTCCCATGGCTTTAGCCGGCCTTCGGTATTGGTCTCTGCGTGCGAAGTTGGGGACGTTGTTGAGCCATCCGTTGATTTCGCATCAATAGGCGAGATATTCGACTCGAGAGCTTTCTCATTGATTTCGTTCATGATGGAGGACTCTGCTACTCAGGATTTGACCTCGAGCCCAAAAACACTCGGGGCTATTCTGCTGAAAAGTTGGATGGCTTTTTTTACATATGCATCGTTCCAAAATACTTCGCCATTTCGAGATTATTCTCGCCATGTAGATTTGTGGATGTTGATCTAGCACCTGCGGCAGTTTAACAGGCATCAAATTGCGACATCAGCGAACTTCATTCGCCTTTTTGATATATTATTCAATTCGATCCAATTGAGAACATCGTTCTTATCTCATGCCAGTGCTTCGTAAGACTCGAACGTAAGGCTTGCATGAACGTATTGTGTTCTGGCATTCATTCAGTTCGAGAAGGATAGACGTTTATCCCACTCTTTCAGATGCAGACTATTTTAACCATATTGACGTGACAATGGAACGTATTTTCGTTCCGTTATCTTGCGAAACCCCTCAATTAGACGATCCCACATTTTGCCTCAGTTTTTATCCTGGCTGAGGAATATCAAGATATTAAGACGCCAATAGGCTTCTCAGTTCCATAGAGATTGATAAGCACGAAAGATAAAGCTGCAAGTCAATTCCCTA